CCTGGGCTCGAACCTAGCCAAGTCAAGTGCATATTTCCTAGTTCAAGCGCCAGCGTGCTTGGGAAGGGAGTACCCAAGCACAGAGCGCTCCTATCTCTAGATGTGGGACGTTGAGGAACCGCGGCAGTGAAGGTCGAATCCCAGGGGAATCCCAATGCAAAGGGGAAAAATGCTTACATTTTCAGTAGCCTAATACTTCTTTTTTTTTTTACGGATCATTTAGGCATTTTTCAACCTTCTGCAGTGTATTCACTTGAGTTGGACATTTTTTCACTTGACTTTGACACTCATGCGTGAGGAACGTCCCATGAACGTGTGTTCGAGTCAAGTGAAATGTTGTCAAATGGGAAAAAGGTGAGAATATTCATCATTCGCTTTACATACTTAGCGTTTGGCATACTTCAGGTGTAATTTCAATATCGGTTATCGGCAGGTCATATATCGTTTTAGGCCGATATATCGGATTCACCTAATATCGGCCGATACCGATAACCGATAAAATATCGTTGCATCTCTAATTAAAAGGACTAAATTCTTTATTCCAGAACACTAATAACATTTTTCTCCACCTCAGGTACCTGAAAAACTAATATTTTGACTACTGCTGAAAATACTCAGTTTCTCACAAAGACCATTTCCTCATTCTCCTGAAGGTTGACCTTTTTGGTTGGTCTTGAACTGACCCTGTCTCCCGAAACTTCCTAACGAGATCATGAATGGCTGGGTAAGAAGCCCCTTGCGACATCTTGTAATGGCAATTGAATTTCTTTTGTGCTTCTGCTCATTGGCAACAATTTGTTGGGAAATTTGGGGTGTTAGAGACGAAATTGGGGGGGGGGGGGGGGCTCAGAGACAGTACTCCAAGTATTCCTTATTCTTCTGCTAAATTTTTTGGGGGCTCGAGCCCCCTGAGCCCCTATGAATCACCACAGATTTTGACTCAAAATACCATGCGATGATCTTTATTCTTTGCGAGAAACTTAGCATTTTTGGCAATTATAAAAAAAATTAGTTTTTCAGGTACCTGGGATGGAGAAAAAATTAATATTATTAGTGTTCCAGAATAAAGAATTTAGTCCTCTTTAAGACTATGTCAACATAAAATTTCAGTTGGCAATGAGAAAAAAAAAAATTTGTCAAGTTACTTTATGGACCCCCTTTAGTATAGGCAGAGCACAAATAGGCTGATAACACTGTTTTCCATGAAATTTCCTAAAATACTTCCTTGTGCCAGAAGAGCCCAAAAGAAGCATTTGATGTTATGTTTCAGAAGCATATTTAGTTTGCTAAAATGGATTTACATGCAATCCCTTCCTTAACCTTGTGAAAGCAAACTACAAAGTGTCATCAGGAGAGAATTTTAAGTTGAACATGCCATCATAATAGGAAACAAAGAACGAGATTATAAGCTTTTATCAATGGAGCAATATCTTGATTCTTGAAATCAGAAGCTCAATTGAAGGGAAGATGGGAGAGCCTAGAACTAGAACTAGAGCAGACATCTCATTACAACAGCTCTGATGTACACAGAGAGGGGAACGAGACAGCTGACAAATGCCAGAGTCTTGCATTCCTCCCTCATACCCTCTGGGCAAGTGTTTACCTTCTCCCAGGCTTACACCACATCATGATTACATCTAGCATTTCCTATTCAGTCTGAGCCTCAGAGTGTTGTATGGAAATCACCATGAAATCCTCTCTGGTCATCCTCCTTTGCTCCTCACTGCTTCAGGTGAGTTTTACAAGCAATGGTATCATTTCAAGCACTTCTGATGGAGGTTGATAGAGTAAACTGTCATCCCTCTCCTGAAGTGCATGAGAGTGGAAGGAGCACCTGGGGTCAAGGAATACCTGGAAGAGGAAGCTCAGAGATTGCAGCAACTGGCTCAAGAAGTGGGTGAAAGAGCCACCAACGTCACAACCAAAGGCCTCACCACAGTATGCTTTCCTCATTAAGTCATGATATACACCTTTACAAATGTAAACCAGAGGGTTTTCTGCTATTCAGACACTGAAAGCAGTGAAGGATACAGTGAAGGACATGATGGCCAATGTAGAGGACTGGGTGAATCAGTTAGGAGAAGAGGAAGAGGAGGAAGGAAAAAAAGAAACACAGGAGAATGATCTTGGGATTGTTCCTCATTCTGACCTTCACCGGGAGATTCTCATCAACCAGCAACTCATGAAGGAACTTATCAACATCTCCCTGTGAGTCAACTACTCTATTTTCAGATTGACTTTGTGCCTCTAATAGCATACAAACACAGTAAGTAAATGCTTCAGTTTCAGCAAGATGAGACCTCCAGCAGGTATGATTATAACAAAATATCAAGAGAGCTTCCTTGAAAGAAAACATTCCAGTGGCCCAAAAAGAGCATCCTAATTGACACTTTCTAAAACCCACTGTAGATCATCTAGGTATCTGATGTTTTTTTATGACATTGGAAACACCACAAATTTGTCTCATGGAAGTTTCATGTGTCTTGGCTGTCTGAATAAAAATTGGCAGTAGTTCAAAGTGGAGTCACAAAATGCACTTTTTCCACACATGAGGTAGGTAGATGGAGTTTCAGGACTGCTCTACGGTTTTTCTCCCTCGATGCCATAAATGCTGCATTTTACAGCAGTTCTCATCATATTATTCTGCATAGTATCAATTCTGATGCTATGACATATGACAGAAGTAATATTTAACAATGTGTAGAATACTGCAATGATGACATGGCATAAAAAGCAGCATTTATGGTGTCAAAGGAGAAAAATCATTCAAGCAGTGCTGAAACCCCATCCTCCTCATGGACAGAAAAAGTACATTTTATGATTTCACTTTGAACTACTGTTAATTTTTACTCAGGCAACCAAGACACATAAAACTTTAATGAAACTAATTTTGTGATGTTTCCAATGTCATACAAAAACATCAGGAACCTAGATGATCTGTAGTGGGTTCTTATAAAGCTTCCAACAGGACACTTTTTTTTGGGCCACCTGATAAAATGCAATTTTTAGTGACTCTGTACATAATCTGTAAGGGATAATATTTTAGCTATGCAGAGATGCATGGGCACAAACTTCTTTATCCAGAGTTTTGTTTAATATGCAAATAAGGTGCAAAGGCATAAAATGGAGATAGCAGTCTTTCACTGCCCTTGAGCACTTTCAGTAAACATTGGGCTCAAGCACACCCCATGGGCACTTTCATTGCCAATGAGGTGTCTTGCAGCAACTGTATTACAATCTGCAAATTCAATGTCAAAATGTGGCAAGAGCAAAAGCAGGTAGCTCTGACATTAGTCTATTTTACTGTCCCCAAAAACATATGAATCATCCATTGAAAATCAAATGTCTGATACATAACTTGACAGTTGGGGCATAGAACATCCTTAATACCAGTAATGTGATGCATGCCAAGTTGTGTAGAGAACAAGAAAATCAATGAATACCAAGTCGAAAGATAGAGGTGATATACATTCAAAGGTGCTCTCTTTTCAAAGGATAGCCATGCCCCTCATCTACAATACAGACAAGACATCTCAGAAGCTGAAGCAAAAGCTTCTCCTACCAGAAGATCACCATGACTGTTTTCTTCATATCATGCACCCAGTTAGTGTCTGCATTAACATCTTTTCTTCACCTCTTCAATTCCTTGAGGAAATAATCTCTTCAGTCACTATCACTCATTCAACACATCCTTCACAAATTTTTTTCTCCAATATTTCCACAGAGGAAGCCTGCAGATTCACCTCTTGTCATGCAGCCCATCCTCCTGCCCAAAGACACTTTGATGCACCCTTTCACAATCCAAATTCTAGCAAAGTTCACCTCAATTGAGAAGTGAGCCTATATATCCTCCTGTTCATTCATATGTGACAGAAATACCACTAACAAGACCATGGCATTTCAGCGTTCAACTGGCTCTATCTGATCATGAAGGTCAAGAAGGAGGGAACATCTGGAACATGGAATTTGATTCTGTTCATCAGTAGGTTTTTTATGGGAAACAAATAGTGTATGTACAGAACTTTTCACCAAATTAACCAGTATATCACAAATTTAGGTCTTTGGTTTGGGAAGGAATCAAAAGAGAGGAGATATTGAAGAGTCCTGCCTGGCCAACAGAGCAACAAATCCCATTTGTTCTTCACATTCAGGTGCAGTCAACCTAGCCAAACTGCAGAGAAACTCATAAAATTAGAATAATTTCTTTCCTGAAGAAGTTTCTCCTATCCATTTATTCAATCCTTAGGTGAGTCGTGACAGTGGAGAGGTGACCACACAGATGAATCGCATCAAGGAACTGCACGAGCTGGACCTCAATCACACGACCAAGATCAACACGAGTGCCAGACAGATAGACTACTTCCGGGTGACCAGCAGTGCAGATGCCTTGCAGATTTTCAGCATCAACATCTTTAAGGGAATCCTTGAAGCACCTTATGGTGTCAGCATTAACTGATCCAAACACACTTTTCAATGGTCATTTTCTGATGGGCGAAGAAAGGGCATGTTTGAAAAATTACCTTAAAGACATGATCCTTGTAAGAAATGCCTATAACCATTGCAAGATGAGTGTCTCTATTATAATGTATGAGTTTTCCTAATAAACAAAACCTTACTGACTCACTGTATTCTAGGATGACTAATAATTTGGCTAATAATTTTGTAATTATCTCTATGGGTGATTCTGGGCGTTCCTGGTCAAAAAACAAGCGTCTACTATGAAGACTGAGAAGTATTTTGCTTGGAACAGTATCAGAGAGCAAAAATGCCCTATAGAGCACTCACCTCCTGAATTGAGTACTTTGGTTCTTGAGAGTCTTTTAGGCCTGCCACAGTCTTCACACTGTCGGTGATAAGTCGAATGAGTCCGTGTGTTTGGCTCAGCTCAGATAAAGCAGACTACAGAAAGAAAAAAGGACTAATCATTTCAAAGATCTCTCACAAGAAATGGAGAGCACAACAGAAGCTAGTTTTACCTTGTTTGGTTTGAAGTAAGAAGAATTACCATGGACAATACAATGTGCCATATGGCCCAGATGCTTCAGTGCAGGAACGACATGCTTACCATCTTGGATTTCATCCACACTCTTTGCCACATATGTTTTTGATAGCTGTCAAATCACAGAAAAGAAATATTTGAAAAAGCAATTGCAGAGAGGGACTCAAGTTCCAAAGTTTCCAAGGATTTTCAGGTAGCAACCTGTTCTCGATTCGAGGCCTCTTGGACAATGGCTTGATGTTCCTGAAGGGCAAGATCCACCAGGGATGGAGGGAGTAGCTGATCCAAGGCCAGACTCCAAAGGAGTTGAAGGAATTCCTCCATCGGCTGACTTTCTTTCACCTCCCTCCCCATTCGACCGATCAGAGTGATGAGTCTCTCCCTGGCACGATCTTCACCCGTTGTCCAACTCTACGAAAGAAAGGAATATGCCATAAATATATTTAGTCCTAGTGTGGGAATCCAGACACCCAGTTTTGTTAGCTCTGCTACAATATGAAAACTGAATAAATCCTATACAGGTATTTCATGTGAAGAATGTAAAACTCTACAATTTTGGGATATAAATTTCACTTCATAAAATGCAAAGAATCAAAGCCATGAACGCCTGGGAGATGCTCTTTTCTACATGTAAATCATATTTTCTTTTTCACCATATCCTTCACTCAAGGTTTATTTTGTCACATACTATGCTCTGCTTCTTCAGGTTGCTCCAGGTAGCTGGAAGAGCAAAGAGCATCATATTTTCTTTCTCATTTCTGGTGACTTTTCCTCCTTGCATTCTTGAAAAACTATATTTCTCAAGGAGGACTACTACCTATAAATTAACTACGATAGCCATTGTCCTCAGTGGAAGTGTTTATGATGCATGGCTGTACTCATGGACCATGGAAGTGCAAATGCTGATCTCTCACTTGGAGTCATTCCCAGAGCACCTAGGTGTATTAGTGTGTAAATAGCTGAAGATCTAACATTTGACATCGTAATAGTTCTATTGTTATGGGGATGGTTAATGAACATCATCACACCCACTTTATGTATGAGGGATGTGAGACACTGAATATGCTTTGGGGACAAACGGCTGACAGCCCCAGCTAGGACGGCATGCAAGTTCTCCACAGTGTGCGAATTCCCTGCATCTTGCAATTTCCACATCCGTTGCAGTTCATCCTCCCTCAAGTCAGGGCCCATGTACTCCACCACATTCTTTACCTTTTCCATGTACTGCACCTGGTCTGTATTGCCTATTGGAACAAAATGACAGCACATTCATAAAATGACTTCCACAGAATAGAATTAGTTTTTGAACATGCCAGGCTGGAAGCATTTTACCTTCCAATACAAGATGAAGAATCTGATTCTCCTCCATCCACAAAAGAAGACTTGCACGGTCGATAGGCTGACTGACACGGACAGCAGGCCCAGTGACTTCACTTTCTTCCATTACTCTCAAAAGCTCCTGCAAGAAAGCCATTTCAATCCTATATGTCAAGGGTCTAAGGCTCACACAGATGAAAATGGCAGATGGGCCAAACAGCTTTGTACAAACCTTGAGAGCAATGATCCTGCTAGAGAAGTTGGGAGTACGGAGCATTCTGAGGATGATCTCTAATCGAAGGGTATTGACAGCTTCCTCCTGCTCAGGTTCAAGAATGTTGACCAACTGCTTCAAGGAGTTCACCAGTTGCAATGCATGTCCTCCATTCTGCACAAAAAACGTCACAGGTAGCAATGTCCCATGAGAATACATAATCCCAACCAATCTTTTCTGCTAGAAGATGCACCTTTTCTTTCAATTCCTTGGCAGGAAGACTGTGAAGCCGCTCCAGAGCAACTTTGAGGCAAGGAGACAGGATTGGTTTGATGGTGGATAGGACCAGAAATGGAGCACAAATCCCAAGTGGACCAAGCAAGGCACCCATGTCTTCACAAGTAAGGTCATCTGACTGCTGGAACATTTCTCCAAGCAATTGGAAGCCACCCAATGCACCAAAGCAGTTGATCAAGTCTACCAACTTCCCATAAGGTTCCTGGAACAAAAAAAAATAAAGCAAAACCCAACATTAACAAAACAATGAAGGAAGCTCAAAACTGTTTTGCATTCAGACTCTGGAATACATACCTGAAAAGGACCACTTGACAAAGGTTTGGCAAATAGTTCGATAGAAAGTTGAGTCTCCCAACCAGTTTCATCCCAGTCCTGGTTCTTATTTTTTTGGTGATACTCTACATCCATGTCAAAGGCCTAAAATGCAAGAGAAACCATCATGAAGGTGGGTCAATAGTATACACGTTCCTGATAGGACTATCATCTTGTACCAAGGGTAGAACAGCATTCATCAGAGAACAGGGTACAGCTCCAGCTCGAAGCAAAGAGACAATGAGTTCCAAGTAGAGAACCAGCATGTCATACACCCCCTGTTGAATGGAGGCATTCCAATTCCTCACAGCAGAAGCTGTAAGAAGCTTCCTGAACACTTCTGGAAGACATCTTTGCACAAAGCGCTGACAGTGCTCGTCTGCTTCGTACTGACCTGTTGAAACGCGAAAGTATGTTTTATAATCTGAACACAGGAATACCATACATGAACGAAAAAAATTAAGTTAGGATGGGGTACCATTTCTGACTAGACGGGCAGCTGCAATAAGGCACTTCCCCAGAGGTTCATTTCTCCTATAAGGAATTGACCACTGTTCAGTGAACACTGTGCTTTCTAGTTTGTAAAGATAACCCATGGGGAAAGCATCATCTTCCTCTTCTTCCTCCTTCTCCTGAACCAAAAACATACACATAAATTAAAATCAAGGGGTCCAACTTTACCATTTATACTAAGGAAAAGGGGAATTTGGTTCACCTGATAAGGAGAAGTTGTCTGCACGGAGACATCCATGCCAGTAAGGTCATCAAATGTGGAATAAGAAGTGAGAGATCCCTCACTCGTGAGCAAATTTACAGCTTCATTAATATCATTTTTACTCATCTGTAGAGCCCGTCTCACTTGTTCCACAGAGGGGAAGCCCATGCTTAGGAGCATGGCCACATTCTCATCCTCTGTTGTGTCCATGATTAGCTTGCACACAAGGCCAAGCTTAAAAAATGATCAGGTCTACATGCATAGCTGTAAAGCAAGATGGCACAAGATGAAACTTATTCTTCCAGTGGGAAATAGACAAGTATATTATTTGTGTTACTCATGCAAATTACTATTAATATATCAGTTCCAGTAGCATGACTTCACAAAACATATTGAATCCAAAATCAGAGGATATTAAACCACTTAAATTACTTTTCTAAGAATTTTGCACTTTTGAATGCTATGGAGCATGTTGTAGACACAGTCAACTCTTGACATCATCTTGGCTGATTTTGGCACTATAACGAGGGTGGTGCTAAATTGAAACATGGCTTTAAAATTGAGAAAGATGATCTAAGTTATATAAAATATGCATAAATTTTCACCTTAATCCACACAGAATACACCAACTACACAGCTTTGAAAAATAATTATATATTTTCCATCCATGATTATATCCAATAACTTCTCATTTTCATGAGTATAACTCCTATGTACCATCTGCTCACATTACTGCCCCAAAACACAGAAAAACCAACATATGCCTCCTTATAATGGCACACTTCCAATTTTTCCTTCACACTCAAAATCGTTCTTCTCCCCATCATAGGATAGTGAATAAAACGTGAACTGTCAGCTGGAGAAGCCGAATACAATCTGAATGAGATGTTTCCATTCCCCAAAAGAAGAGAAAGGATTAGGCCAGATTTGGCGACCCTAAATGCCCCCCCTGTAGTCCCTGGAGGTACAATGCTAATATATCCCTCACAATCTTGTTATCATGAGATTGAAAGGAGCAGCTGGCAGCCTTAAATTTTAAATGCAGTACAATGATTGTGGTAAGTAAAGTGTGCTGCTTGGCGCCATATTAAGTAAGATTTACGGAGGATGACCCATTTGTACAAGTGAAGGTCTTGGTGGATGGCATTATAATGGAGGAGCGCCTATGGTAAGCCTATAGGCAAGATTCATTCTTAGGAAGGAGTTGGTGATGAGCAAGAGTGGCATTATATAGGGTGGTGCTACATCGAGGGTTGACTATATAATATTCCAATGGGTTAACTAAAGCAGAGTTTGAAACCTGCTGTGCATGAGCTGCACCCAAGAAAAACTGTACCAGATAAAAATTACAAATCATATCAGTGACAATGGTAGAGTGGTCAGTAATTCAATGTAATGACCCAAGTACATGATGTGCATGCCCTGGAAGCAGAGGAAGGCCAAGACATGACAAGTGCAAATGGATGCTACTTAGGGTATGTGGCAAGGCTGTTCTGGGTTGGTGAGGCCCACAATATCTCATGAATTTTCAAAAATGTAGTATGTGAAATGGCATGCTTGCACCTTAAAGCAAAATCTCCATATTTCTCTTACATACTTAATATGTAGGGGATGTTAGCAGGTATTTGACACTTAAGCTTAATAATACGTGCCATATCGAAGAGCAGGACTAAGCACTAATATAACTATAACTAAACCAATAGCACCATGCCTTTAATTTAATTTACAACTATCTGCCTTTTTCTTAGGCAACAGCCACACCATGGACCAATGCGCGAGTAGAAGGATGAATGCTCGCGTTTGTTCTCTTGAGCACTAAGTATCCTTAATGTCCGAGCAGTCTAGAGCAGTAGTGAAACTCAAGACTCCTCTGAAACCTGGAATTCGCCATGCCGAGCGAGCATTAGGGCTTACACTTAGGTCAAAATTCTACAAAATAAATGCTGAGTGTGCCGGCATTCTTTGGAAAAGACTGAAACGGTGGCATCGGAACCGTTAGATCACATGAACGCATGAACATGCGGCAAGAACTCGAGGCGGCATCACATATGTCCGCCAAAGTGCCGAAAGACCGTCACCGTGCAAGACGCCATGTCTGAGGACTGCAACTTCGTCAGGGTTGCCAGCAATGCAGTGTTTTTGGATGGACCCTCCGCAACTCACATGTTGAATTCATTCTTATCTCCAGCTTACAGTGGGAGAAGACCTGATATTTCCTTTTCTGATGAAAAACAGTCACTCGCAACACTCTGGGCACCCCTAAGCAATCAGAGATTTGTAACTTCGTTGTCAAAATCGTGGATGCAATTGTAACACTTAGTTCGTCATAAGCGTAGCATGAAGAGAAATAGTACGGGAACCCTGAGATGACTGTTGTCATGCATTTCTTGGTCGTTTCCTTCTTCAACCTTTTACGAACACTCCAAGAAGTGTGACTCATCAGGCGATATGACTGACCTAAGCACATCATTCGTGCTTGGTGCTCCCATTTACATTAATTTGGGGCCCCCCCCCCCCCCCCCCCCCCCCCCCGACGTTACGCCGCTGGTTCAAGTTATAGGTGTGAAAAGTCATTTCGAAATACTTCGCTCACCTACATGTTGTCCATTAATTGAACGACCAGCCGCATGCGTGAAAATCGAACTCATGCTCGAATAGTCAAAGGTAAGCCTCGTCATGTCAGGTACTCATCGATAAGTTTCACTTCATCCTTATGTTTGTGATGATTCTTGCTTGCCCATTCGTTTTGAGGAATTCTTCTCCAGCTCTGCGTTCCAATTTGAGTGATTTGTACCATCAAGCTCCATACAGGCTGCAGACCCTGACTAAAAATTTCTGATGTACTTGCAGCTCTCGAGTGGGATGGGCATAGCGGTGGCGGCTCATGGGCAAAAAATCTGGAGAGGCCAGCGCATACGCTTCATAATGAATAACAATTAATGTAAATGGGAGCACCAAGCACGAATGATGTGCTTAGGTCAGTCATATCGCCTGATGAGTCACACTTCTTGGAGTGTTCGTAAAAGGTTGAAGAAGGAAACGTTCCGTCTTGGCAGTCCATACTAAATAGAATTCAAAATAACGTCGGACGGCAATTGAAACTTCCATCGAACACGTGAGGAAGAGTAGAGGCGCATCCGGTCCGAACAAGAGAGTATCGGTCTGTCGACTTTCTCCTCCTGCGAGTTTCAGAACTTCCTCCCCCCCCCCAAAAAAAAAAACGCATTTAGCCCACCAAGCTAATATCATGATAATGCAGAATATTTATTGTGCCTTTTCCATCCATGTCGAGCGACTGCGCAGATACAAATCGGCAATTCATATTCGGATACCCGAGTAGCTCTCTACTCGTGGCGAAGAAGCCTAAAAGACACGCTGGCTGGCTAACATCCACTCATGCGCAGTGCAGACGGCGAGGCCAGTCTCCCAGCTCACACGTGTACACTACTATTATGCGCTGCGTGTGTTACGTGATAAATTATACGCATTACCTATGAGCCAGTGTCTCCAGGCTGTGGACTTCCCATCCATGATTCTGAGCATGGGTTTACTGTCAGGGACCAGACTTCGCTTGTATTGTTTCTAGTAAGAATGAATCCATTGCTTAACAGAGATTTACTTATCAGGTATTTGATGTCGTAATTCCAAATAGTATGTGAAAGTGCCTCCTTAGAATTTTTGAGGAATTCGGGAATTCATCTTCATGGAGTGGATTTCCTTCTGAGTCGAAGAAGGTAAGTTCTATAAAAATCTATAAGATAAGAATACCCGGATACTGCTCGCCAGGGCCACCCAGAGGGGGGAGGGGGCAATCTGCCCCGGGCCCGCGTATCAAGGGGTCTCAAGGGGGACCTCCAAAGGGCCTCAAAGAGTCCCCAAGGGGTCTCCGATTTAGTTTTGCCCCGGTCCTTTGGAAACCTCTGGGCGGCCCTGTCGCGCGCTCGTGGGTCAGTAATCCGGATTTCACATAATCCCACGCTTGAACACTCCATGACTTATACTGAGCAGAACGGAGTAAATTTAAATTTGAGTTGGATTCATTCATATCTATGAAACCCATCGATTACATCCAAGCTGGAAACACATTTACCTAAAAACTAGCTACCACCAGTAATAAATATGGATTTAATATGCCAAAACTCCAGCCGAGAACGCTATTCTCATCAAAACGATGGAAGGTATGCGAATAAGGCCGACTAAAATGGAGCCTAGAAAGAGACGTGCCGTTCCAGTCTGCTCCCAGCAGAATGGCAAGTGGGTTCCGCCGGCTTGTAGTCGGCTGGTGACATCACACTTGAACAGAGTGAATGCTTTCCACTGAGAGAAGTGAGCCTGAAAAGAGCTATCGTTTCCATTTCCAGCCAAAAAGGCGAAAAAGCGGGCGGCCCTCACCTGTCGGACGGGTTCTTTCCTAGGCGAGTGGAATCGGATCGCACGAGGAATCCGCATTTCATTCAACGAGACGTTATTCCGGACATGTAATAATGTGAAAAATTTTCAAAAGTTTTTTCCCTTTCTTCAACCCCCACTTATTTTCAAGGGGAAACTTGTGCTTGCGTCGCCGAACACAGTAGTTGGATACGAGGCGTGATAGTGCAACTCTCAGCTCGTTTTCCACTGAGAGGTGGCGCTTACTCTTGTTTTTAGGTATTTTTAGTTTTAATTTTTTTTGCATTTTTGTCAACTCTCAAATCTCACGGCACACCTAAGCCTTACTGATGGCACACCGTATGGGAAACACTGCTCTACGGAACTCACTAGCGTTAGGCCTAAGCCTAACCAACGAACTGTCTTCGGGTCGGGCCTAGGCCTACCTTTTTTCGTTCAAAAGAAACTCAATCCTGGACATACGTACCAATTAGGGATTTAAGGATTAATCCCTGGTCTTGAGACGTCTCGTTGAGGACGTGTAACGTTAGGCCAATCGCAGGTCGGTTCAGTCCCACATGGCCCATTTAACAGAGAATATCCAATATCGTTCCTCTAAATGCTTCCTGTGAGGTGTACGAAGAGGTTGAATTTGGTGCCGGGAAGGGGTTGAAGAAAGAGAATAGGCGCCAACCCCTGCGGAAGCGTCGACTGAGGTCGGAGTCGCTAGGGGTGTCCTTCAGGGCTAGGTCCTGGGACCACTTCTGTTTTTGGTCTACATTGACGATTTGGATCTAGGCATAGAGCAGGGGTGGACAAAATACGGCCCGCCACTCTGTCCAGCAAAAAGAAAAATTATAGTTCGCTCAGTCATACAGTAGAAAGGACTAATTTTAATCAATGA